GGGTGTCGGCGGTGGCTCCGCTGCAGGACGGCTCCGGGCAGGCGGCGCAGAAGAAGGATGTGGAGCTGATCCTGGTGAAGGAGCAGAACGGGGTGCAGTTCACCAGCAGCAGCCTCCTGCCGCCCGCCGCCAGCCCCCACTACGGCGCCGGGGTCGGGCAGGAGAGAGAGACCTGGGGCAAGAAGATCGATTTCCTCCTCTCCGTCATCGGGTTCGCGGTGGACCTGGCCAACGTCTGGAGGTTCCCCTACCTCTGCTACAAAAATGGAGGGGGTAAGAGCCTCGTTTACCGGGTCTGTCCCCAGCCCCGATGCCAGCGCCCCGCAGGGGCTGCAGCCACTTCCCAGAGTTTCGCTCCGCGGGGCCGGTGCAGCCGCCCTACCCCGCCCCGGGTTGGCGGCGCGCGGGCAGCCTGGCTGCAGTCGGGGGCTGCCCTCAGTGAGCTCTGACCCACTGCGCCGGGGACCAGGAACTGCCCCCTCCCTGCACCGCCGCAAGCGAGCGAGGTCCGAGTCCCCGGCGAGTTAAACTTAGTTGGGAAGAGGCGCAGGCGGCTCTCTCGGCCGGCGCCTGGGACCGCCGGGGGCAGAGGCAGAGCGCCGGAGGAGCGCTGGGAAGAGCAAGCTAGCACCTGGGAAAGTTGTAGTTTGGCCAGTGAAACAGCCTTGATGTGAGCTCTGATTTCCACTCCTCAGTTGGAAGGTGCTTCGTTTTTTTCCCAGTGAGCAGAAAAGAGTGTGTGTGTGTGTGTGTGTGTGTTCTACAGAGTTGACAATGAAAAAAAATCCCCCGGTTAATTCCGTTCTATCCAAATTGCCCAACGCATCTCAAGACAGACCCTAATCCAACCAGGCCCCTTTCATCCCTGTGCTGTTGGTGATGAAGCCCTGCTGTGGTGGAGTAACACCATCTGGGAGCCAGGCAGGTGCCTGGGGTGCCGACAAATGACACATAGCAAGAACAGACCAGGTCTAGCAGATGGAAAGCTGTTTGTGTGAGCGCTGAATGATAGGGGTGGAAGGATGGCTAGATGTAAAGCATGTACTGTAAGGCAGCTATTTATGTCTTGATGTGGTTGCCTGGTGATAAAGGCTAACGGTTGACAATTGTAGCATAAAGTCTTCCGTTCCTATGAAAAAACCTACACTGGGTGGGAAAATCCCTAACAATGTAAACAGCTGAAACTGTTGAACTATGCTTTCAAAATTGTGAGCTGGTTTCCCCTTACTTCTTGTGACGATGTTAGAAGGGCTGGTACCGAAGTACCAAACCTATTGCAACACCACTTTTAAGGAGGATCAGGAAAACTGTCCTCCTGCTAATCATACAGGAATTGGCCATGCATTCTGCACCAATACCCTGATTTGGTCCAAATAACTCAGGTATTCCAAAGCATGACAACAATGCACTGCCCTCTTCTAAAGAAACAAGCAGGTGATCCATGTTGCAGAAATGGCAAGAGCACCTGTTGTGAGATTTCTAATTCACTTTGCATCCAGTAAAGAGGTTTCTTTGGATTTCCTGAGAGAAAGAGACACGTTCCTCTATTCCGTTACAGAGTACAAGCAAAAGGTAATGTCCACTGTGTTCCAACTAATTTCATTTTTAGTCAATGATTACAGATCACTTTGATCAGATTCATCACCTGTCTCTGTACTTTGCTACTACTTTAGACAAAGTAACATATTCTACAGCTGCTTGTGTGTTGTTACCTCCACATCAGTTATTTACTTTAACTTCAGACAGGGGAACTTGACTGTGGCTATCATGATTATTTTCTGGGAAAATGTGAGAGAGAGCAGCTGGTGTGTGCCTGGCTTTTTAGAGCATTCTGGTTATTTGATCAAAAATAAACCTCAGACTACCCTCTGTTTTAGAATTTTTTAAAATTACGTAACTCCAACACCACCAGTGCATCCCTCCGTCAAACATTTAGGTATGGTTAAAAGAGCTAGTTCACACTAACATCAAGCAACTTGCAATCATCCACTCAAATATTTTCAGGCCCCCCTCAACATTGTGAAACTAGAATCATAGCTAGAATTGAGAGGCCTGAATGATGGGTGATGAAGGCTGCGCTATCAGTCTTCCAGAGGCTGGAGACATTGATGATTATTCATTTTAAGACTGTAGTAATTGAAACTGTTGGACTTCCCAGGATCCTCCAGCACCCCATCCCCTAAAATCTTCCCTTCTGCCTGAAAACATACATAACATGACAAAACCTCCTTGTGACACTTCAAGAAAAAGGGAAGAAAAGATGGGTTGACACTGAAGAGTCTGATCTGCATATCAGCTAAATATTACTTAGACATAACAAGTTACTTGCTATAAACCTGACTTGACAAGTGGGAAATAAGAGTGCAGAGTATTCTTGCCTGTTGATATCTAGCTGGACTTACTCTTCTACTTCAGTTTTCTCCATGGCATCCGAATGCTTTCCCATTCACCTCTCAGCCTTGCATGACACAGGCATTGCTGTTTGTTTAGATTAGTGGCTCCCAACCTTTTTTAGAGTCAAGGCAGTCCTCCATGACTTTTGTGATTTAGCAGCACCCCATTTCAAAACTAACATTTTACAGGTACTCAAACAGAGGAGCAGCCAGGCAGGGAAAGCCTGAGCCTGAGCCTGCCCTTATCTCTTATCTGCTTGTCTCCTCACACTTGGAGCCCCAGCCTACCCTTATCTCTTCACACTTCCTGCAACACCTTTCCTGCCCTGGCATAGTAGTTGAAAATCACTAGCTTAGATGAAGCTTCTGTAAGCAAGGGGTTGAGCTAGGGACTAAAAGATAGGCAAACTTGCTTTCCTGAATTTTAAGTCAAATCAATACTTTATCATTGTGAAATTAGCTGCACTTGGACATAATAGGGTACTTGTTTGCCAGATATTTTCCCTGCAATAGCAGCAGAAGGGAAGAGAAACCACGCAACTCAATACAGAGAAGAGCGGAGACTGCTAGGTTGCACTCTCATTACTCCCTCCCCAGGATATAAGCATTCTCAAACTTCTTTTCTCAGCCAGCTGCTGTTGCAGAAAGGAACTTCACTAGCACACAAGTGAGCCTTGCTGGCTCGAAGTTAATAAAGATTTTGAGGGAGATCATATAATTGCCAGTTTATTTAGCTATATAGATGTCCCAAAAACAGGATATCAACAGACAAACAGAAAACATGCAACTGAGCTATTATAGCCTGTTCAGCTAATGAGGTAGAGGATCAGTATCAACTTGGATTTCAGGTGTTGGAGCTGACACCCTCTGAATCAAATTATCCAAGGCATTTTTTAAAAGGAATTTAAAAATAAATTCATTATGGAATTACATCCTTCCTTTTGAGGTGTATAAGGATAATCTAAAAGGACCTGATTCTTCAGAGGAAAGAGTAAAAGTGTTTTTATAGAGGCTGTTATGAGATGCATACGGTAAACAAACTGAAGAAGCACATCCCCCCTCAGAAATTATCTTAAGCATTTCTAATTATCTTAAGCATTACTTGTGACTATAGAAGTTGAAGTATTTGGGGAGGAATGTGATTTTCATGTTGTATTTTCAACAGATTGGTATGAGACAGTAAACTGCAATAAATTTCTCATAATGACCAAACAGAACTCTTAATCAACAAGTTATTTTAACCCTTCTTTGGCTTTTGCTGTATTAGTGAAAAGAAAGGTATAGTCCCATTTGAAAAATCTACTATCGGTAAGGTTACCTATGGGAGTCTACTTCAAACAGGAGCATATATGCACATGAAAGATTCACCCTTAAAAAGTGTCAGAATGAAGTAAATGTCACTCTGTTCTCTGGGAAGAGCAATTATACGTGTGACTTGGGGAGTTTTATGCCATTAAGGTTTGTTCTGAATAGCTTTAGGCATTGCCAGTGAAACCTCGCTTCTTTAGAGCGTTTTTATACTTGTAAAAAGTAGAGGTTCACTGATATATTGGTGCCATATTGGATCAGCACAAATAAAAGGAAAATTAACATGATCGACTATTGGCTTTTTTTGGCTGGTGTAGCCAGTAATGTAGTGATAAATATAATATGCCTTCTGGCCAGGGCCCCCAGATACCGCATGAATGCACGCAGTTTCAGCATGAACATGGCCAGGAATGCAGCTGGGCAGTTCGGAGAGCAGCGCCCTGCAGGTAAATCTGTGGAAGGGAAGGTGTGTGTGTTGTGGGGCAGATTGAGGTTCCCAGGGTGCGGGAAGGAGTGGGGCAGGGGCTGGGGGCACTGCCCAGCTGAGGGGGTGAATGGGACCCTGGGGCTGGTGTGGGAAGTGGGATGGAGCCACAGGCAGCTCATTCGGGGTATGGAGGGCATGGGGAGGGGGGCAGCTCCCTGCTGCTGTGTGGATCCCTGGGGGAAGCATGGGAAGGCATGTACCCCTCCCCCATATGTACATGGGGCAGAGGCAGGATGCCTGCAGTGGGCTCAGGGCTCTCTACCTTGCTGCCTTTGCCCCAGGAGCTGCTGACTGGCTGTGTACCACCTGCCTGCCCAGTGGCAGTGGGGGTGGTGAGTTGTGCCTCCAGCCACTGGGCAGGCAAGGGATGCGGTGCGGCCCACGGGGCAAAGGCAGTAGGGTGGAGAGCCTCAAGCCCACAATGAGTAACCCACCTCCGCCCTTGCCTCACTTGGCTGTGCTTCTAAAAGCATACTCGTTCTTAAAAATGGTGGGAGCAGTGCTTGAACTAAAACTCATTTGATGAGCTCTAGTTCAAGTGCCCCTGCTGCCATTTTTAAGCGCTGGGACACTGATTCCCTGGACAAGTCACCTATGGCTCTGTCCTGCTGCCCGCCCCATCCCCAGGGTCCCATTCACTGCCTTGGCTGGGCAGCGCCCCCAGCCCCTGCCCCAGCCTCACACCCTCCCTCACTGTGGGGGCCTCGATCTCCCTCCCCCCACACTTCTTCCCTCTCCCACACCCTTTCCCCTCCACAGACTTAGTTGCAGGGCGCTGCTCTCCATGCTGCCTGGCTGTGCTCTTGTAAATCAGATATCAGATCGGTATTGGCCAAAATGCCTGGTGAATAATCGGCTATCAATATCAGCCAAGAAAATCTCTATCACTGCCCCCTAGTAAAAATTAAATTGTTCTTGATGACAAAGCATGAGCATATGTAGGAAACACAGAAGGGAAGTCTGCATATGCACTGTATGCACATCATTCAAAGTTTAATTTTACAGGAATGTGTATATACGTACACACCCAACTCTCATTAGCCAAATCCTTGTGTTCCTTTGTTAGGTGAACTCCAGGGGTTTTC